GGTATTTAGACACATAATTTTATAATTATTAGATATTGTCTGTTTTAAATTTTTATTTTCATAGTTTTTTTTTTTTTGTTATCACCTAAAAGAATCTTTCAATGTAATATGTATATGTTTTATAAGTTCTTATTTCTGCTCTTATTTTAACCCTAAATCCTAAAACTCTTATTTTAACGGCACTTGGTTTATATCCCATCAAATGACACGTTCGATTTCTGTCTTTTTAGATTTTACTATTTTAGTTGAATTTGTTCATTATTCTCATATACAATTGGCAGTACAATACATTTCACGGAATAGTGGGCTTAGAGAAGGCCTGAAAGAAGCAAGGCCTCCAAATACAAGCCCATCATAGATTAAAAAGCCTAATGCATGAGACCCGAAAAGAACAAGACAAACAGTTTAGTGGGCTTGGGGAAAAAGCCCATCATGACGCTACGATATTATTTCATTCGAAGTGAAATTAACCATGGGTGAGTGAGTTTGATGGTGTCGTGATTCCAAATTTTAGTTGATTCAATTTATTGTTATAAAGACTTAAGAAATTCCTTCATTATTATACATGTAACTATCTAAACAACAAAAAAAACATAAATCTAATACTTTAGGATTATTGTGCAAGTAATTTTTGTATATACATGAAATAATATATATATATATATATATATATATATGAAAAAAGTTCAAACGACGTGAATGTAATTCTTATTAAATATTTTGGAGTTGATTCAGGTTTGTTGTTATAAAGACCTGAGAAATTCCTACACTATACAATGTTGTTATCTAAATAACAGAGAACATAAATCTAATAATCTAGGTTATTATGCAAGTAGTTCTTGGATATACATGTAACAATATATGTATATATACATATATAAATGGTTCAAACGACACCAGTATAACTTTTATTAAATTACATCATTCAATAACTTTATATTAAATGTAAATTTTGTAAATCTAATCATTAGATTAAAATTTTATAAACACTTAAATCCATCGATAAATCTTGTCATCCTTAAAAGAACAACAAATTTTGGATAAATTGTCTACTATTAGGCAAGTATTCAAGAGATCAACATGTTACTCAATTAAAATACATAAACAATTTGGTTCGCTTGTCAAAATAGTAAGAGAATGATCCTAGAACACTCTAATGGGCTCACCATTCTAGCTCTATAACTTTTTTCTCTAATTTCTTTCTATTTTTCTTAAAAAATGATCTTATAAAATTCAAATTTTAAGAAAAATTTTATATACTTTTCCTTAATAACTTGAATCAATACTGAAACAACTTCTAACTGACTATACTTAAAAGAATTATTAAATTATTAGAATTTTACAACTATCAAACAACTAATCACAATAATAATTAAAATAATAAAATCAATAATTACTAACAAAATTCTCAATATTATAATTGTCTTCCTTACTGCAAATAAAAATCAAATTCTACCCACAATTGTAGCAATCATTTGTTGGAAGCAATCGATAGAGCAATGAACATTATTATTTTAAAACTGGGCTTAGATATGCTTCTAATTGGATTATGACGTGATTAAGCGGTGACTTTGTTCGAGATGCTACTAGGAGTTGCTGATGGAGACATGTTAGGCAATCTGGTGCTTCCCTTGAAAATTTAGGAACCTATTTTTAAGAATGGCATATGCAACGATTGAACCTTGTTCCTAACATTGTAGGACCACAAACTTTATTAATACACTATATCAATTTATATGATAACATGCCTCACAAATATAATATATACCTACTTATAGTGATATTTTGGTTGTTTTTAAAATTCAATAAAAATTAAATGATGTTTGAATAAAGTGGGACGAATATTGAAAAATAAAGAAATTTAATTTCTTTATCTAAACAAAAAAAAATAAAAAATGAAAGAGTTTCATTTGAAATTGAAGCAATTGAAATTCTTAAAATTTAAAATCTCTTTCAATTATCCTTTATCTAAACACAACTTTTAGAATTATCTTCTAATTATGTTAAAATATGTTGTGCAATTTTTTTTTTGAAACTTTTTTAAAACATGATGTGAATTTTATTAGAATTTATAGATATAAAATATATATGACATGAATATTTTAAACAATAATAATAAAAATCAGGTCATGTGATTCAATTAATGATCCATTAATTTATCTTTAACTTAATATTTTAATTGATTTGATAACTAGTTCAATTTTTAAAATATTAGTCAAAATTTAGTCATATAAACGATGGATGCTTCAATCTTTAGTTTTAAATTTTCACAACTATGTATACTAAGCATCTTTGAAATAAAAATGTTAGCGATATTTTTTAATATCTCTTCTTAATAATTTTTTTTATTATTAATTAAAAATCACAAATTTTAGTGAATTTTATTATTGTTAAGAGAAATTTATTAAATGAGAGATGAGACTAATAAAATTTATAGTTTTTAATAAGTTTTAATTAATAATAGTATTAGTATAAGAGAATTAAATGCAAGACTACAAAATTTATAATTTTAATTAATAATAAATGGAAGTATGAAGAGAAAATGTGGTAAACGTTTATCTCCCTAAAAAGAAGCTGATTTAGTCTATCCTTCATGTGCAAATTTCGAAGCAATCAACATTGAAATTCAATTTTATAATTAACTTGTTAAATTTAGTTTATGAACCGATTAAACTAAAGATTAAATTCAATAAATAAATGAGTCAAATAAATTTATAGCACTTATATCTTAATTAAGTCTAGTTGTTTAAGATTATATTTATCAAAATTATAAAGTTGTTAATTATGAACATGGAAAAGTTTTTGATATTTCTCAACTAAAAAAAATTTATTTTGGATTAAATATGTTTTTAGTCCCTCAAATTTAGGGTAATTCTGTTTTTGGTCCCTCAAATTTAAAATTGTTGTTTTTAGTCCTTGTAATTTCAAAAAATCTTATTTTAGTCCTTATATTCAAATTTTGTTAAGAAATTTATCAAACATTATTGCATAAAATTTACTTATTAGTATCCTTATCAGTGAAAATATCACATTAAATCTGGTTGATGTTGCATAACTGTATTAATTAGTCATTTTTAAATATGTTATTGGTGACCTAAGGGACTAAAATAAGATTTTAAAAAATTACAGGGACTAAAAACAACAGTTTTAAATTTGAGGGACCAAAAATAAATTTGTCTTAAATTTGAGGGACTAAAAACATATTTAAGCCAATAATTTTTCTAGTAGATTTAAAAAGGTTATTTAAGTAAAATATAGGGAATGGGCGATGATAGAAGATATTGCGGTCTCCCATACCTGTTATCCACTGCATGAGCATCGATCAGCAATATTATTGGTAGGGTTTAAAAGAGACGAATCCAAATTATATCAAATTTAAGAATGTTGCACTCCATGTCAGGGTGTTCTTTGATTTAGAAAATCAAATCAAATTAATAATGTGAATTAAATTAATTAAGTCAGTTGGATTTTTTTATCAGATCAAATTAAATAGATTCCACCTTATTTAGTTCAGATTACAAATTGATATTTCACAATTCTAATGATTTAATAAAAAAAATTAATTAAAGTACTAATAATAATAATTATTATTGTTATATTACAATTATCATCTTAATATTATTTTATAATATTATAATTTTATTAGTAACACAATAGTATAATACTATATCACATTAACACTCTAGTAGTATTACAGTAATTCTTTTATAATATTATTAGTATTTTAGTTTATATACATGCATGTTTATTATATATAATTAAAATTAATAATAAATTATATATAAATAAATATTATATTTAAATATATGAATTATATTTAAAAAAAATTAAATTAAATTTTTTAAATTTTTAAATTATATTTTAGATTTATGATAAATAATTTATTTTATACTATTAATATATTTTATATTTTATTTTATTAGTTACCCAACACTCACTTAATTTTAAATGGTGGAATAATTTATCTTTAAATGTTAGTGTACTATATTAAACTATGTTGGGTTATTTTAATTCCATATTTCTTACAATAATTTTTTTAGTTACACTTGTATGTTATTTAAACTCTTTTAATAATAATTTTTATTTAAACTTTAGGATCAAATAATATATATTTTTATATTTTAAAAATAATGATTTTTAAAAAATTTTTGATTAATTCAAACTAAATCAATCTATTATTAATTGATTTGGTTCAAATTATAATTTTTTTTCTTAATAAATCCGTTGAAAATCAAATTAATTGATTCAAATTTTAATTTACATCAAATCTGAACTAAACTAATTCATAAACACCCCTGCTCAATCTGATATAATTCAATCTTAATAAAGCATGAAAATCTTATATTTATTTAATTTTAATTTTATTTGTAAATGACATTTAAATCTAACTTTTGGGGACACGATATGCACTTTTCCTTTAATTTTAATAATTTTAAAAAAAATTCCTGTTCTTGTTATATATATATATATATATATAATTTGAGGAGTTGGGTAGCATTTCTATTCAGGATTCACTTTTTGGACACATTTTTCTGTCCTCTCTTGACACCGCCTTTCTTTTTCTGCCTATCTCTATCCACAATTTTACATGATCATTAGTGGGTGTGCGAGTGAGAGGCACCAAGAATAATAATTATTCACCTATTTCAAATCTGATAAATACAAATACAACAACAATCTGCATGTGTCTGACTCTGACAGGACTTAAATTTTATGCCAACTTGAAAACAACTCACTTCTAAACCACCCTTCTTCATCCCTATCCACATACTTGACACCTTTCGTAGTACCACCACCACATGAAAAATTGAAGCTCAAAACTAATACCATTTTATAAAACATTTTTTTTTTATAGTCATGTTAGGAAAGTATGCATCCACTTTATTGATTAATCTTGGTCAGAAAATGTGATCGACCACGACCAGTTTTAGCAGACGTTTTCTTCATAATTATATTTTTATTATTCGTAAGATTAGAAGAAAAAAAAACTGTTAATCACATTGGGCTAGAAGGCTAGAAGGCTAGAAGCAACGGATGGAAGCATACAAATTTTCATCTTCCTATCATTCCCCCAACTATAGGGCTGAATATAAAAAAAATACATCTGTCAATTTCACTTGTTTTTCGTTTAGGTTCAACACTAACCAAATCCTATAGCTAAACCCCCATTTTCCCACAAACAAATCTAATTTTTCATTCAAACAAAATCTAACATGGCTAATGTATAACACTGTTATCCCTAATACATTATGCAGTTAAAAGTTTCCTGGCTGCTCAGCTCCAAAAGACCAACTTCTTAAGCTTGTTGTTTATTCTAAATTGTAAACATCCAAACCAACATAGGTGAGTGTCCTTGTGAAAAAGTCCAAGCTGTTCAGTTCCAAAGGTTGACTCCTCAACCTTGCTGTTTCTTATAAATATTCAAATCAGCATGAGTGTCCTTGTAGCGCTGAGTCAGATAATCACGGCATAAGATGGGAGGAAATCTGGAAAGAGAGAAAATGGAGAGATGTAAGCACCACTACAAGCAGCACATAATTTTAATACTGTGGCTTCCACCTAATAATGTGTTTTAGTAGTATTCTTAGACCAAGAACCGATTTGAATACAAATTTAAAAAAGTTTTTGAGAACTTCTTTACTGAAAATAAAGAACTTTTTTAGTAGAAAATATTTCAAAAACTCTTTTAAATTTGTATCCAAAACAGATTCCAAATAAACCAAACTTAGAATGTGTTATTAACTATCTAATATACAATATGCTGACAATTTTTTGATGACATGTTTGACTCACTTGGGTGGATTAGTATCTGATTTGCAGGTAGGCAAACATTCCACTAGACAATCATGACTGGGCTCCAAGAAGTATGCAATCTGTCAAAGGAAACAACATTAGGATGAGCAAGTTACATGATTTTGCCAAGCTTTGCTAGTTAAAACTGATATGATATACAAAGATGCATAGTCAAAGGAAGGACCAAATATTGTAGAGATTGAATTTTGGAAGATAGTAACATAGTCAAGATTCACATTTGTCGCTGTCAATGAATAAATAAAAGGGAAGATCAACTGTGATGGCAAAATCACCAACAACATAAGTCAATCTTAGCTGCTGTAACCAATAATTGTCCTTAGCATTGTTAATTCCATTGCTAGCAGAAGATAATAGAGAACTACAAGATTACACTCTAAGGTTTGAAGTATTGTGTATATATGACCATAAAAGTACATATAAGCTTCAAAATGCAAAAGGCGAAGAGTTTGACCAGATAAGTAAATATTTGATCAGATAAATACATAATTGACCAGCAGGGTCTTCAGGGAGCCAAAATATATTAGAAATGTAATAACGGTTTTGCAATGAAGTTAAAATCATATGGCAAAGAGAAAAAAATTGAACCACAAAAAAGAGCTTACAGAATATCTTTCTTGACCATTTCCTAGAACTCTGTGCAGTGTGGACCTGAGCATAAATGCAAAGTAAATTGTTGATTAAATGATAAATAAAATTTAAACCAAAAAGGATGCACTGTAAAAATATCGCAAAGGCCAAATCACATTTTTAATCACTTATGTACATATGAAATTCTCAAGCTTCTATTGAAGCTTACAATTTTCATTCTAGCAGCTAAAGAAGACTTAGGATACCAGTAAGTGCTCTAAACTTTTTTGTTCTTATAAATATACAAGTGATCAACCATATGCACATGCAATTCCTATCTATTCATTAAAAGCTAAATCTAGCATGAAGGAAAATATCATGGTATTCTTACTTAAAAACACAGTTGCTCCAGCGCTCCAGCATGTCACCAAGATTCACGATGAATGCCCTGCAACATAAACAGCCAGTCAAATAATGTCATAATTCAGGAGAAGGGCATGACAAAGGTAATAAACTTAAAATCTAGTAGCATACTTCTTGTCCCTACAGCCAATTATGCCTAATACTTGATATAATGCAGATCAAAATGAATTAAACTTTAGAGATTACTGGTTTTGGCAGATACGTGTAATTTTACAATGGATTAATTGTTATGTGGCACACCTTGATGCTGTCAAATGAAAAGTATGACTTCTTACATTATTCCATCATATAGATTTGTATGAAGAAAAAGCATGTCTGAAATTTTTTAGAAATTAGCTCATTAGCTCATGAATTGCAGGGTAGGGATGAAGAATAAAGAAGAACTCTCACTACGGCATTGCATGCAAATAACAATAAAAGCTACAGTGACATAGGGACTAACCCCTTCAATGGTGCCACATCCTCCCATATTTGAGGTTTAGCATCTCTATTCTTGCATATCTGCAGTAGAAGACATTAATGTTCTTAACTAATTACAAAATATATTTGTAATATTGAGAAAAAAGAAGTTATCAGTTGCCTTCGTACTTGAAGACCTGAGATTTCATCTGTTGCCAACAGTGTAATTAGACCATAGTCGGTATGAGCTCCAGCTCCATATAATCCTTTCGAGGGATCTGATACTTGACCTTCATGAAACAAAAATGAATACAACTATATAAGTTATTTTTCTTTGTAATTGAACCAGACATACAACTTCTTTGGATACAAGTTTAAAAAAGTTTGAGTTTCTCTACTAAAACAACTTTTCCAAGCTTATATCAAAACATACTCATAATTATCAGGTATGTGGTATTGTTACAAAATTCCTCGCTTTTCACATTATTATTTATTACAAGACTTCTTTTGAAGAGAATCCAGTATGTGGTACAGTGAATTCGGTACGTGATATCAGGATTATTGAGAAAATTCTGTATCTGCACTAGTACTAGGTATAAAGGCTACAGATTCAATACCTTCATAGTGCAGCAAACGCAGAGTTGCAATGGACTCTCCAAGCATTGTTGGTTGATCAAAAAAATTAGCATCTAAATCAAGTGCAAGGGCAATTATCTTTGCAACTGCTTTCCCCACTTGTCTGGATTCCCCAAAAAATCAAACAGGAACAAAAGATAATGAAAATGTGAAAGTGTGAAACCCTTTTCCTCCAAAATACATAATTTGAGTCCAAATGAACAACCAAAGCAGTTAAACATGGTCTAATATTTTCTTCACAGAAAGGAAGCAATAACATTGACAAGAAAATAAACAGAACAAGACCACAATCTCCCCACACCATGGCAAGTAAGAACAAAGCAACAAGAGGAAACGTGACAAAACTGCGACTATGACCGCAATTTAAAACCTTGCTCCATATTAAAAACTAACAATTAGCTAGTTGCACATGCAGCACAAATGATCAAAACACAATTGTTACGTTGCATCTTGTAACAGGTAAATAACATCACGAACACTTACAATGCCTCTCGATGGAACTTTTCCATGGTCTCCCTCCACCCCGGCAGAACATCTACATGGTTAAAAAGTTCAGGAAAAGTTTAAAATAAGAAAAGGAAAATCCAAAAAATTGGATGACCCATTTGATAGAAATTAAACTTTTCGACTCCAAAGTCTCAAAGACTGAAGCAAAAAGTTGACTCGTTTACCTGGTGCGGGCCATTTATTTGGGCCATAAAAAGGTTTCTTCGATTCTTGGTCATGTTCACCTTTTTCAACTCCAATATAATACCCCTCCTTGTAGTCTCCTACTTAACCAAACAGAGAAAAGGTTAACAAGGTTAGGAGAGACAGAACTTATATCAATTCATGAAGCACTTTTTATATTATTTTTGTAATCAAAATTAAAGTTTATCTCGATATAAATGTAATAAAAGTTTACATTAAATATTAAATATCAAATAGATTAAGTTTATCTCGATGATAAATGAAATAAAAGTTTACATTAAATATAAAATATCGAATATATTAGCGAAGTGAAATTTTAATTATGATAACAAAAACAATACTTAAAAGAAGAAAAAAAAAACTGAATCAAAGTTTTGTCTGAATCAGAATGAAGAATAAGAAGAAAACATGGTGGAATCTACACAAACATGCAACAATCTCATAGGGGCATATACCATGTACTTGGTTTTCAGGATCAAGTAACTCATCAAGAACAGGGGTGTACCCCCTGTGTTTTTCATTCCTGAGAATCTTCATCTTTTCCTTGTGTGGAAGAGTGAAGAATTTCCTGCTCTGTGCAAAAACCTCGTCCAAGAATTCCTGGCTTATCCCATGATTCACGACGTAGAAAAAACCAGAATCCAAACAAGCCTAAAGCAAACAAGAAACATGATGAAGATCGCATAGGAAAAGTTGATGATCGAAAAACACAGAGGTTTTGTTATTGAAACAGAGGAAGCAAACCTGCTTGAGGAATTTGACGGATTGGTTGATGTCGGGGTTGGAGAGGTCGATGCAGTTGAGAGCAGAGAATTTGGTGGCGTTAGGAGATGGTGTGCTCTGTTTTCCCATGTTTGAAGAGCAACGAAGGAGAGCCTCAAGTTCCTTGAACCACTTTGCACTTTGCAACGACAGAGGATTGAAAAAGTGAATGTTTTTTGCTTATATAACCATATGCAACACAACATCATGGGTCCACAACTCTTGCCACCATTCATCATAGCAGCCATATTATTTATTTATTTTCTTTTATATATATATATTTATTTTTATTTTGCTTATTTAGGAATGGAAATCTCTTGGTTGCAAATTATTATAGATTTGCTGCTTTTTTGTTCTTAAATTGGGCCTTGGGAATTTTATCCATAACTGGATTAGAATTTACTTTTTGGGAGGTAGGTAAAGATTGTGTAGGTAAATTTTAGGGATAATTTCTTTTAGATTTTTTAGTTTACATAGATTGAGATTTATGACACTAGGTTTGGTCAAATATCATAAATTTTCGCCTATTACTTGCCCAATCATTAAGGTTGAAATAATAGTTGGCTAACTCATCATTTTTTTATCCAACTTGTTACCGTTACAAAATATGGATTTTTCTGCCAAAAATGAAACTGAATGGAGCAGATTTTTTTTTAATATATAATCTTTTATTGTTTAGTTTAATTTTTAAGAAATAAACAAGGAGGGATTTGAAAGAGAAGGAGGAAATTTAAAATATTTCAACTATATTAACTGAACTATTTTTAATTATGTTTAAAATTAAAATTTATAAAAAAAAATTAATTAATTTTTTAAAATTTTTTGCTCTATGTGAGAACCAAACATTAAAAAAGAAAAAAAAAGTCTTTTTCTTTCTCTTCCTCTTGTGTAAATCAAACAGAATAATTAATCATACTTTTATCTTTCTTCCGTTTGTAACGTAGTAAGTTAATTGTTTAGAGTTTAATTAACTCTAGAGAGAAAGGTATATAAGGTTTTTTTTAGAACGAAACCTCGTAAGCTCATTCTCAAAGAAAATCTAGAGAGAAGAGCTCTAGATCCGTGAGCTCCTTTTTCTCTCAAATTTCTCTGTTTGATTCTTCTTCTCTTCTAAATCACTAATCTCTTCTATCTTTTCTTTGAATTCAAACTAGAAAGTTTGATTTTGGCAGATTGAAGTCTGCAGGTCGACCGTTTAGGAATTTTCTTCTTCCTCCTATTCTTGGTTGTTCTGAGCCAATTTTCAGGTAAGGAAAGTTAGGATTGTGATACATTGGTTGCATGTGAGTTTAGAAACTCAATTGATGCATGAATTGGAGGTTGAATTGCTGATTTGAGGGATTTTCCCATTTTGTGGGTTTTCGGGCTAAAACAGGGTTTTGGCTTATTTGGTGCATCGGATGAGTGCATGTTGTTTCTAAGACTTGAATTGAATTGTTTTTGGTGCATGGATGTTATCTCTTCTATTGCATGGGTTTTTTTTATGAGTTTCAGGTGTGAAGGTCTAAAAATGGTGAAGAACATGGTGTCTCTATCATCAAACAGCTGAGTCGTTTTAAAAGGTTGAACCCTCTAGAGGCTGCGTGACAGAGGAGGATTTCTGAAACCAAAGGGTTGTTCCATTTTAAAGGGCTGAGCGCTTTTGAAACGGCTGAGCCATTTTAAAGGGTTGAGCCCTTTGAAGGCCGCGTTACGAGGGAGAATCCCTAGAAGCAAAGCACTAAGCGTTTTGGGAGGCATTGAGCAGTTTTATGCTTTCCGAATTAAACTTTTATGTCTTCATAAAAGTTGTATCCTTTAATGTTATCTTTTCAATGGCGTTGGAATCACCTAAAAATGAGATCTAGAACTATAGTTATGGCTATTTTAGTGAACAGGGGTCAAGCTGTTAATATTGATTATATATGTTGCGGTTTTTGATATTTTTATCTAAGTAGATGATTTATTTAGAATTTCATGTCTTCATGAGAGTTATAGATTATCCTCTTATCTTTCTTTTGAGATAAGTTTGAGCTCATTTTGATGAGTATAACTCTCTGTGTGTTATCTTCTTTGACAGTTGTTAAAGGGAGACGCATGTTGTTTTGAGGTGTTAAGGTGTTATCATATGGATTAAAAAGTTGTATGATACTATGTTGTATGGTTGGTTCATATATGTATGATATATGATGTAAATTGGTGCTTGATTCATATGTATGCTTGGAAATGATATATATGAATGTTTAAACATGATATGATATGTACGTATGTTTATATGAGAATGATATTGATCATGATGGTGGATTGACCGTGTATGATGTATTGTTGCATGTGATGTCTCATGACATGTGTCTAGCCTATGATTCGAGGAGAGGGAAAATGTTTTCGAATTGGAAGAGCTCACATAGAGTCTCTTGAGAGTGGTGCTTGGATAGGTCGCTGGTTTGGATGAGAGTGGTGCTTGGATAGGCCACTGGTTTTGGGTGAGAGTGGTGCATGGATAGGCCACTAGTTTGGGGGGGTTTCCTCTAAGTCCTTAGCTAATGTTTGAGTGGGGTATGAGGTCGAGGGTTATTCCCTTAACCAAGTACTGGGAAAAATGTATGGTTCCTTGCGAATAGTCGGTGGGCGAACTTCACAAGTGACTTGGTAATGTATGCCAAGATCGTGGTAAGCCTGTACCCAGCTGTGTTATACCTGACGGTGGAATCGGACTTTCAAGTGTGTAAGTGACATCATTCGAGTAAATCCGAGTGGGGATTTATATCCCGGTGTGCTGTGACCAAGTGGACGCATTGGGCGTGAAAATAGTTGGGGTGATTTCAGTAGGATGTGATGTCATTTATACTGCTCTGTTGTTAGGGAGATCTCCTAAATGAATGCGTGACGACGCATTAGATGATTAATATGCATTGATATTTGTCATGATTTGCTGTTATTGCATGATTACTATTATGATTAAGTGTATAGTGTTTGACTTCATGATTGGTGTTGATGATTGAGTGGGATGGAAGTCTCTTAGGACATGATTGGATGAATATGTAGTATAGATTATTATTATGTACTTGTATGGATGTTTATTGAACTCTAGCTTACCCTTCTATATTCATGTGGATGGATTGCGATGATCATACTATGTATGAGAGCAGGTCAGGGTTAGGTTGGAGTCGATGTGGTCGTTGCTGAGGTGTTGGATATTTTGTCCCAGTGTTGGAGTTATTGTTGGAGTAATTGATTAGGTATACTTGACCAGCACTAGAGTAGTATTATTTTGGAAGATTGTATATACATAGTACTATAGTTTGTATATAAATATTAGATTTTTTTTATCATTTCCTTTACATGTATATTCTATTATCCAGCTTAATATTTTATCTTAGATAATTAGTGTAGTTAGCATGATTCCTCTGAGTGTAGGGACTATGACAGGTTGTTACACCGTTAATTTTTTTTTATATGTTATTCACAGCGAAATAACTTATTATTAAAGTTTCTTTCCTTAAAATCAAAACATATTTTAGAAAGAAACTTATTATTTATATATAATTATAAAAAAAATACAAATTTAAAACAAAAAATACGAGATATCATGTTAAGTTGGGCCTAGATTTTGATTTTGAGGGAAAGTAACTTTAATTATTAAAATCAAGTAATTATTTGTTGTAATAACTTTTCTTATAAGTTTTTTTAAAATGATACATATTTCTCTTTTAATTTTTAAATAAACAATGATCTTCTTTATTTATTATCTAAATGGCACATATAATTCCTTATATAGGATAATATTATTTATGCAGTATTAAAAGACAAGTGTCAATAATTGAATGAGACTTGATCTCTTATTCAATTTCAACATTCAAATTATATCTCAAATATCATGCATATTGTGATTTAAAAAATATATTAATTTCAATAAACAATTTCAAAGAACAATTTGAGAAATTATTATTTTTAAAATTAAAAAATGATGAAAATTTTCATAAAAAATACATAACATTGTACGAAATTCAAAAATAAATGATCAAATGCATATATAATTGATAGAATATGAATTATCTTTTATTTAATTATTTTCCTTTTCTCACTTTAATTAATGACCTTATTTTAAGAAAATTAAATAATTAAAAAAAAAAAGAGATGAGTACAATTTTCTCTTCTTTGAAATAGTTTAAGGAAACAATTAAAACTTTAATAAATAAAATATTTCTATTATGATTTTCACAACTTAAATAATAATAATAAAATATTTTTTTTCTACTTTTTTTTATATCATTTTTCTACTACATAAGGTAATTTTTTCTTCTTCTATCACATAAGTTACTTACTCTCACTACAGCACTACTCACCTATCAAAGTTACATTATCTCTCATATATTTTTTTAAAATAAAAATATCAAATTAAAGTCTTATATTAGATAAAAGTTTGAAGATTATCATATCAACAAATCTTATATCAGGAACAACAAGATTACTAAAAATCAGCAAACAACTATATAGGAGATATAAGACAATTGTTTTCTTTTGTAGTACACTAACAAAATAAAAATACCTCATAAAGCAAGTCTTTTATCCAAAATGTATATATAGGAGGATTCAAACGATAGTGATGTAACTTTTATTAAGTGTTATATCGCTCAATTTTGAAACCCTCCTTTTATATATATATATATATATATATATATATATATA